ATCTCGTTGGCAGCAGCAGCCATGTCCCTGAGGTATGAAAGCAGAATTTAGAAGATCAGATGCATATGTTTGCAATTGGCGTTTTAATAAAGGCTGTTTTATGTTGCAGCTATTCTACTATTGCTTGGACGGCTTCAGTTGCCAAGGGTGTTCAGCCAGATGTGCAGTATGGCTATAAAGCTAGTACCACAGCTGGAACAGTGTTTAACTTCTTCGGTGCCTTGGGAGATGTAGCCTTTGCCTATGCAGGGCACAATGTGGTGTTGGAGATCCAAGCAACCATCCCATCTACACCTGAGAAGCCATCAAAGGGGCCTATGTGGAGGGGAGTCATTTTGGCCTACATAGTTGTGGCCCTTTGCTACTTCCCTGTATCTTTGATTGGGTATTGGGTGTTTGGTAACTCTATTGACGACAACATCCTCATCACACTGGAGAAACCTGCTTGGCTAATTGCAATGGCTAACATGTTTGTAGTTGTTCACGTCATTGGGAGCTATCAGGTGCACATCAGTCTATATCTTGTGATTCAAGTTTTACTTATATAATTTCTCCACAACCGGTGATTTATGAGATTTTGGTTGAAAATTTTGTCTAGGTCTATGCAATGGCGGTGTTTGACATGATGGAGACCGTTCTTGTAAAGAAATTGCATTTCAAACCCAGCATAATGCTTCGGTTTGTTGTACGTAACATCTATGTTGGTAAGTAAATCAGCTCACATGTGTGCAAGACAAAGTTGTATCATCAATGATGGAGCTCAAGTGCATTTTAATTCATATCTGATCTCTTCCCTGCAGCATTCACAATGTTTGTTGCCATAACTTTCCCTTTCTTTGGTGGCCTTTTGTCATTTTTCGGAGGATTTGCTTTTGCCCCAACAACATACTTTGTAAGCCGCAATTAAACATATCCCTTTACCCTTTACTAAACTACCTCCGTTTACAAAAGATTTCATACAAATATTCATCCACCCCTGGTTTCTTATTCAGCTCCCTTGCATAATGTGGCTTGCTATCTACAAACCAAGGAGGTTTAGTTTATCTTGGTGGACTAACTGGGTATGTTCATTTAAATGTTTTTGGTCCTCATTGTTCTTGATTTGCTTCAAAACTATTGTCTGGTTGTACTTATTTTTGTTTTGTTGATTTCAGATCTGCATTGTACTTGGCGTTCTCTTGATGATCGTAGCACCTATAGGAGCACTGAGGCAAATCATCAGTAAAGCTAAGGATTATCAATTCTACTCTTAATTTGTATCCTAAACCAGATGGAGGTGGAGTGCCATGCAATACAGAAAGGAAACTGTGAATGAGTCGTTACACGTTCCAAAATAGTTTCAAATTAAATTAAAACAGATGCCTGTATTCAATATTTGGAATTTATATTTTACCATTCATATTGCAAATTAAAAGCACAATTTGGCTCATGAATTTATTAAAATACTTTTAATGAAATTATTTTTTATATTAATTTATCAAAGGTATTTTAATAAATTCATAGACTATACTTTTAATGTGTAGTTCATTCTATCGTGTAAAACACTTTTTTTTTTGTCAATGTTTTGCCATATAATGTGATTTTGTTTATTTTGACGGTTTATGGTTCAGATGGTAGGACTTGTTCTAATAAACCCAATACTATAACAAACCACTTAATCATGGCTTGCACAATCAGCATTCAAGAGTGATAAAAATTCTGCCTGCAGAATATCAATAAACAACTATTCCATGCAGCTGGCAGAGTAAACCTTCAAAACCGTTTTCAGTCGATATTGAGTCGCTGAAGATGCAGAATTTACAATGAAAGCACAGCAGTCAGTAATCTTGATAGCTGAAGTAAACAAAACTTCAGAGGCTGGGACCTGGAAAATGGGCATGTGAGTAGTACTCTGGGAAAAAAGAAAACTGAGTAAAGGAAATGAGGATTATTCACCTCAGACATGTTCCACCAGGAGTAAATATAGCTGGTGCAGTCAGCACCCAGGTTTTGAAATCAGTGACATGTTGCGACTAGCATTCCCTGAAATGATGCTAAGGTAGAAATTAGCATTGGTTATATCATAAAAAAAAAAAAAAACATTAAAGTAATCTGAAATATCAGCCTAGGTACTGATTGGAAGGAAC